CTGCTGCCATCATTAGTCATTAGTCATACTTCTACTGTTATTATACACATATGACTATTGTCACACAAGTATACTGTCAGATATTAATACATACTTTCAACATATTGTACCACAGTAGCCAGAACTATAATTACAATATTATTACTTTCATTAATGTTGTTATAAGCTACTGTCATTACCATCTGTCCTGCATCTCTCTCTGTCTCTCTCTCTGTCTCTGTCTCTCTCTCTCTGTCTCATTGTGTCATACGGATTACTGTTAATTTATTATGCTGATGCGTGACGTGTGTGGTTGTGCTGCTGCCGTGGTCCTGCCAGATGCCTCCTGCTGCTGCTGCTATCATTAGTCATTAGTCATACTTCTACTGTTATTATACACATATGACTATCGTCACACATGTATACTGCCAGATATTAATACATACTTTCAACATATTGTACCACAGTAGCCAGAACTATAACTATAATATTATTACTTTCAATAATGTTGTTGTAACCTACTGTCATTACCTGCATCTCCCTCTCTGTCTCTCTCTCTGTCTCATTGTGTCATATGGATTACTGTTAATTTATCATGTTGATCTGTTCTGTATGACATCTATTGCACGTCTGTCCGTCCTGGAAGAGGGATCCCTCCTCAGTTGCTCTTCCTGAGGTTTCTACTGTTTTTTCCATGTTAAAGGGTTTTTTGGGGAGTTTTTCCTGATCAGCTGTGAGGGTCCTAAGGACAGAGGGATGTCGTATGCTGTAAAGCCCTGTGAGGCAAACTGTGATTTGTGATGTTGGGCTTTATAAATAAAATTGATTGATTGATTGATTGAATACAGGCCTGTATCAATTAAAGGCCTGTCTCTAATACAGGTCTGTTAAGTTCAGTGATTTAAGCTAATAATAGCCCAGGGCTACTATTAGAAGTTTTAGGGTATTTGTGTAGTCTGAAGGTTTTTACAGAGAAACAGCAGAGGGGTGGAGGGCCCAGTGAGGAACCGTGAGGGACGCCACATCCTGTTGTTTGTAGTCATGCTAACGAAACTTAGCATCAAACTTAGAGATGTTTTTGTGCTGTTTATCGAAGTCAGTCAAAGAGCACAGAACGTCAGACTGTACCAACGTTGTCATGAAGCAGTGACATGTGACCTGTTAGTTCAGAGGCTTGAACCGCCACCATGTCGCTGTAGTAACGACAGGTGACAGTGTTGCCTAGTAACAGATGTCCTGACAGCAGCTGCTCTATGTGTTCCAGGTGTGACGTGGCAGCCGTATCAGTACTACGCCGACGACTGTCTCGAGACCTTCGGCATGTCTCCTAAACGAGTCTCTGACTTGGCACCGAGTAACCTGACCCGGGTCATCTGTACGGAGCAGTACTCCGGCTGGGTCGGCGCCAAGGTGGGTACCTGGATTGATACTGGTTAAATCAGGAGGAGTGTACACAGGTGTAAATCTACTTCCTGTTATAGAAACTGACCAATGATTAGAAAGTGGGAAATAAACGTGATCAACAGGAGAGCAGCATTTTACTTGTGAGTGTTCGACCAATAGGAGTACAGCATGTTACCTGTGAGTGTTCGACCAATAGGAGAGCAGCATGTTACCTTTGAGTGTTCGACCAATAGGAGAGCAGCATGTTACCAGTGAATGTTCGACTACTAGAAGAGCAGCATGTTACCTTTGAGTGTTCGACCAATAGGAGAGCAGCATGTTACTTGTGAGTGTTCGACCAATAGGAGGAGAAGGTTGTGATGTTCGAAGTACGCGCTCGGTTCGGGGTGTTCGCTGGTCCGAAGCTGATCAACATGGACGCCCTCTACACCCGGATGGAGACCATGAAGGGTCTGAGAGACTTCTTCACCTTCACCAACCTCCGCCTGCGACTGCTCCGCCCAGCGCTGGGCGGGACTTATGTCCAGAGAGACAACTTACTGAAGTACTTCTACGCCATCTCCAACATCGACATACCTGCCAGGTAACTACACCAACCAATCAGCTACACCCAACAACTAGCTACACCCAACAACAATCAGCTACACACAACAACCTGCTGAAGTACTTCTTTGCCATGTCTAACATCAGTGTACCTGCCTGGTAACTACAACCAACTTTCAGCTACACCCAAATACCAGCTACAGCCATCAACAACCAGCTACACCTAACAAACCACCTACACCCAACAGCCAGCTACACCCAAATACAAGCTACACCCAACAACATGCTAAAATATCCATCTCCAACATCAATGTACCTGCTAGGTAACTACATCCACCACCAGCCAGCTACACCCATCACCCAGCTTCACCCACCTGTGTGTCCTGTGTGTCCTGCAGATGTAGGTGTAACCTCCACGCGTCTCAGTGTGTGTTACGTGACGCAACACTGCAGTGTGACTGCGACCACAACACAAGTGGACAGGACTGTGAGCGCTGCCGTCAGGGCTTCAGGTCACGCACCTGGAGACCGGCGTCGTACCTGCCACTGCCCAAAGGCACTGCCAACACCTGTATGTACCTGAACACACCACAGCCACTCAGACAACAGTGGGCAGAGCTTGAGAATCACTCAGTAACCTGTCATGTCTTTTTCAGGTGAAGCAACAGAAACATCAACCAGTGAGTATCACTGTACATCTGTCATCTCATTTCATCTCACCAGTGTCTCCATAATGTGGTCAGTGTTGCAACATGGGATGTTTTACGATGTCACCTCAGATATTATTCTGTCAACATCCACCTGTTGCCTGCTGACGTGATGTTTGTCACTATGACAGGAAATACAAAATAAATAAATACTTTTCAGAAAAGACACAAACACTGAACTCAGCATGGTTTAAATGTTCAAAACACAACGTCAGGAGGAGCTCGTTATTTAGTTAGTTAGTTTGTTTGTTTGTTATTTATTTCATTAATTATTTAATTCATTAATTTTAATTCATTAGTCAGTCAGTCAGTTAGTTCATCAGGATTATTCTGATGAGGATCAGATTAGAGTTTTTGTTTTTGACTCCGATCAGAGGGTTAAAAACCAAACAGGACAAAGTTTTAACACAGAACGTGATCATAAATCCATAAAGATAAGAACTCAGAACAACAAGAGAATAACTTTAATATGAATGTTTTGTATAAAATATAAATATTATTATATGGCTGTTCATGAGGTTTAAATCTGGGTCAGGTGTTAAA